AGACCCACCAGAACCCCGACACAGACCCACCAGAACCCCGACACAGACCCACCAGAACTCGACACAGACCCACCAGAACCCCGGCTCAGACCTACCAGAACCCGGGCTCAGACCCACCAGAACCCGGCTCAGACCTACCAGAACCCGGCACAGACCCACCAAAACCCGGGCTCAGCTCGCTGGTTGAACCCGGCATAGACCCACCAGAAACACAGACCCACCAGAACCCCGGCTCAGATCCACCAGAACCCCGGCTCAGCTCGCTGGTTGAACCCGGCTCAGATCCACCAGAACCCAACACAGACCCACCAGAACCCCGACACAGACCCACCAGAACCCGACATAGACCCACCAGAACCCCGGCGAACCCGGCTCAGATCCACCAGAACCCCGGCGAACCCGGCTCATATCCACCAGAACCCGGCTCAGACCCACCAGAATCTGACACAGACCCACCAGAATCCCGGCTCAGATCTACCAGAACCCGGGCTCAGATCCACCAGAACCTGGCTCAGACCCACCAGAACCCCGGCTCAGATCCACCAGAACCCGGCTCAGACCCACCAGAACCCGGCTCAGACCCACCAGAACCCGGGCTCCGATCTACCAGAACCCGACACAGATCCACCAGAACCCCGACTCAGATCCACCAGAACCCCGACTCAGATCCACCAGAACCCCGACTCAGATCCACCAGAACCCCGACTCAGATAAACCAGAACCCGGGCTCAGATCCACCAGAACCCGACTCAGACCCACCAGAACCCCGGCTCAGATCCATCAGAACCCGGGCTCAGACCCACCAGAACCCGGGCTCACAACTACCAGAACCCAGGCTCTGACCTACCAGAACCCGGGCTCAGACCCACCAGAACCCGGGCTCACATCTACCAGAACCCGGGCTCAGACCCACCAGAACCCCGGCTCAGATCCACCAGAACCCGGCTCAGATCTACCAGAACCCGACACAGACCCACCAGAACCCCGGCTCAGATCCACCAGAACCCCGACTCAGACCCACCAGAACCCCGTCTCAGATCCACCAGAACCCGGCTCAGACCTACCAGAACCCGGCTCAGCTCGCTGGTTGAACCCGGCAGCGTGTCTTGGTCACTCGGTCTGCAGCTTCATGCCTTCCTGGGGGAGAACCGAACCTTTCAGGTCGGTGAGGAGAAGGAAACTCAACAGACTGGAAGTCATGTGACGGATCAGCTGATGAGCAAACAGCTTCCTCCGGTTCAGAACAGCAGCAGCCTTCCTCCCACTGCTCCTCTTCCTCCTCCTCTTCTTCTCCTGCAGTTTATTGGATGTTTGTAAAGCCTGCAGAGCGCATTAGCGCCACCAGCTGGTTAGGAGCTGGAAAGCTTCAGTTTAAGCAGCAGGAGGTGAAGCTTTCTAGATGTTTCTCTTCTCATCCAGACTTCAGTTCTAACTACATGTTTCATCCTGACCTGGATGACTGAGAGTGAAAATCACTGATTATTCATCAGTTTTACTGTCTGAACTTTCAGTAATAATCTCTGTTAATGACTAATTTAAGACTTAAGACTAGGCTTAAAACTTTCCATTTCGATAAAGCTTATAGTTAGAGGGGCTCAGGTTATCCTCAGCGATGTCTACAGTTCAAACGTTTGTTACTTCAGTAGAAGTATAGATCCTGCAGTTTTAAAACACTCTGGTAAAAGTTAAAGTATCAACCTGACCTCTTTACTCTAGTAAAAGTGAAAAAGTATGCGCTCCAAAAACTACTTAAAGTATAAAGTAACCTTTAATGAAAACAGCCAGATGCCGCTTTATGAATTAAAGCTCAATTTTTGGCCTATTTCTCTAAATCCTCTGAGATGGGGCCAAGGATGAGGGAGGTCTGGCTGGTCTCCGTCTCCCGAT